GGGGGGGGGGACGTTGGGGGAGGGGGGATGGGGTGTCAAGGAGGCACATCGTGGGGGGAACAGGGATGGTGGGTCGCAGGGAGAATGAGAAGCAGGGGAGTGGTGCAACTGGATGCGACGCAGGTGGGGTGGGGCCCGGTCGCTGTGCGCCGGAACAAGCCCGGACGGGAGGGCTCCGCGACAGGCGCCATGGCGTGAGCGTCCGCCGAGGATGCCTGTACCAGAACCCAATCCCCCCACCGCCAGCAGCTGCGCGGCCCCTGGTCACGCCCAACCGTCCCGCCCCCTCCAAGCAGACCCCTGCTTCTCTTAATCACCAGCACCTTTGCACCCCCGCACTCCTCCCCAAGCCCGGAACGCCCCCCTCGCCGAATATGTTGTGTTGAGCACATGCTCCCCCCCACACACACAAACACACACAGCCAACCCACCCTCGGGCATGATGGTCGTCTTGCCCTCCCTGTCCCACAGGTACATGTCGTGCACCGCCTCCAGGTTGCCGCGCTCGTACTCGCTCGACTCAAACTCGTCCGTCACCCACGTCGCGTTCTCCACCTCGCGCTTGGCGCGCGCGACCGCCGCCGCGCGCGCCTTGGGGTCCGCGGGCAGCCCCTCCACGGCCGCCTCCAGCGCCTCGCCGCTCGACTCCATCAGCTCCCCGGGGATGTCCTCCCTCTCCTGATTTACGATCCGCGGGACCTCCAACGCCACCTGCCCCCGCCGCCCGCGCCCGCCGCGGCGGCCGCCGGGGCCGCCGGGGACGGCGCGCTCTGCGGCCTCCTCCTGGGCCGCCTCGTCTTTGTATGCCTCCTCATACAGCCAGACAAGGTCCTCTGTGTTGAGGCCGTTGTCAGGCCACTTGCGGCCGTGCTTCTTGAGCCACCTTTTTTTGGGGGGGGGGGGGAGGGTTTGGGATAGAAGCCGGAGGGACATGCGTCAGGCGAATGAAGGGGGCGTGCTGATTTGTGTGTTGTTGGGGCGGGTGTATCGCGAGCGTTGGGTGGTGAGGAGGGGGCACCACGCGGCGCACCGTCGATCCCGCGACCATGACAGACCAGCGGGAGAGAGGGCCGCGGGGCGCGAGGGGCCGCGGCAGGCCCGCCTGCCCACTTGGCCCCCTCCAGGGGCCACGCCAGTGCGGGCACCCCATTTGACCCCATGCAGTCGAAAATGTGCCAGGCCCTCTTGACCCTGTGCGCTTGGAAACGCGCCAGCCCTCCCCACCAGGGGTGACGCCCCACAGGCGGCAGCGCATCTGCCGCCACCATCGGCGCGACAGCCAGCCGCCGGCCGCCCCCCTCCGACCGCAGCCAACGGCCCTCAAAAGTAACCCCCCGCCGGCGGTTGTGACCTCCCACCTGTCGTAGAGCTTGTTGACATCCTCCCTGTACTTGGTCTCTGGCTCGTCCCGCTCTGAGTCAAACACCTTGAAGTACAGCTTGGGGTCGGGGAACTGGGGAACGGAAGTTTGGGGGTCGGCGTGCGTGGGGCAAGGGGGACGGGAGGGGCGAGGTGAGGTCAGGGGTGGGCGGGGGCGCGAGGGCAGGGGTGCGTGTGTAGGGGCTGGTGGCCCGCGAGGGCGGGGCCGCTGCGCGCCTGAAGCTGCGGCTGGGGCGGCTGCTGCCGATGGCTGCCGCGGCCGCGCGGGTGTGAGGTCCTGCCCAAGGCGGGGTGCACACTGTTGATAGTGCCACGAGGCACCGCATGCGCAGGTCTTCCGACAGCGGCCGCTGCTTTTGGACCCCGGCCTCCCAGGCCGCTTCACATCAATGCAGTACGGCTGATGACGCCATGCGGCGCCATGCAAAGTCGCCATTGGCATAGCATGTCGCGGCGTGGACTCACAGGGGTGTTGTCCACGACCACCCGCGAGTCATCCTGATCCACATTGGGCGCCATCCTGCCGCCCTCGACGCCGCTGCTGACACAGCTGCAGGCAAGGCGCTACAGGCTAACCGGGCCCGCCTGCCCGCGACGAGCTGCGGTGCAGGGCGGACGGATGACGCGGATGCTGAGAGCGGTAAATGGGACTGGTCGGCTGCTGGGCCGCGGCGACGTGATGGGCGACGCAAAATCTATTGCCTCGCCAACGCAGCACTCAAGGCGGCGGCCGCTGCATTGAGTGGGTCTTGCTCAAGCCCACGGCACACTGAGCAGCGTATCACCCCTTCCTATGATTCAATCAGGACCGACTAGCAGCTCAGAGGCTGCGGTCTTCGCTGCTTCGGGCTTGCCTGATCGTATAGCTGGCGGTGCTTGAGATCCACTGCAGCTCGGAGGCTGCGGGATATCGTAGGATATAGGCCAGCAATACAGGATGTTATCGGGCCTCGAGCAGGGCTCAAAGGCCCCCTCGAGTCTGTGCTGCAGCAGCAGCCACCGCGGTTTGATGCTAGCACGGCTGCGTGTGATTGAAACCTGCACCAAAAGACCGATGCAAGCCACCGAAAAACCCCTAGAACCAATGGGAGTTGCTCGGACAAAATTGCCTCAGTGATCTGGTGTGTTGAGCGACCACACAGCAGAGCTTACGACTGTGTTACTCAACAATCAATACTGTGGTCTGCATCCGCTTTACCACGGCGGGACTGCTTGAATCCGCCAGGCCGTCCGGCCGGCACAGGTGGCCAGTTTGAGTTTGGTAGAGCTGCAGGGCTTGGCCGCGTTCATGCTGGCTGCAGGAAGTCACTACTGCATACAGGCTGTCAGTTCCGATCTCGTCTGCCGCCAACAAGCGGTGCACCATACCAGCTGCCCCTCTTGAAAAAGTCAATGTTTGACCAGTCTGTACGGCTTTGCTGGGCCCCTCTTCACCATCCCTCCGTCGGTCGAAACGCCACCCCACAAACGTTTCCTCAGCTGCCAGAACTGCTTTCTTGTGGTCTGAGCTAATGAACGCTCCAGCTGCAAAACTTTGTTGTCCTCCCAAGCGGTGCTGGATTGCCTGGTCTCAGACACCTGTCATGACCGCAACTCACAGAAAACAGCCGGATTACTCTGATGTGGGGCAACGCGGCCCAAAATGATTGGCTGTGCTGCGCGGGATGTGTCTCTACCTGTTGCTTTTGTCAGAAGCAGCGCCGCGCCGTGTTGCTGCCCTGCCCTATACCTGCTAACACCAACACACGCGCCATGTGTACATGCGTGCGGCTGACCCGCGCAGCCCAATCCAGCACACCAGATATCAGGAAGGTATAAAGTAGTCAGAGCTGCGCATGCCCAATACACATATGAGGATATGACACGCACCGCGGGCGCCGCGCGCTGCAGCGCGGCGCCCCGATACCCTGCGGCGGTCGCGGTTTGGCCCACACAGGTCGCCTCCAGAAGCTGGGCGGCCCCATCACTGCTGCTCAACAGGACAGGCCGCCCGTTGCGCCACAGATGCGCGCGCATCGGTGTCGTCCAGCGGCACGTTTGACCACTGGGACTGCCCCGAAGCGCGCACATCGTCCGAGCCCGCCGCAGCCTGCTGCTGGTGCAGCTGCTCCCGGCTGTCTCCAGACAGCCACTGCTGCGCGGCCGCGCCCGCGTCGGCCCCCCCGCCCGCCGCCAGCGCCAGCTGCTGCGCGCCCGCCGCCGCCGCCGACTTGCGGGCCGCGCCGGCCGCGCCGACCAGCGTCTCTGCGGACGAACCAAAGCTGTCATGAGGCGACCGCGCGCGCGCGGCCGCCAGGCCGCGGCCGAGAGGGCCCTTGCGCGCGCCCGCCCCCTGTATGCCCCCGTGCTGCGCCAGCCGCGGCAGCTTCAAGTTGGTCAGGGAGGTGGATGCCAGGCCGCGCGGGCTGTCCGCGCCGCGGGGCGCCGTGTCCTGGAAGGGGCAGCCGTCCGACGAGCTGCGCTGGGACAGCTGAGGGCTCGCGCAGGCGCTGCGGCTGCCAAGGGACTGACGCGTCGGCGCGGCCGCCACCTGCGGCTGGTGTTGCGCGTGTGGCTGGTGCTGCGGCTGCAGCTGCCCCCGGAGCGCGCGCTCAGGCGCAGCCACGCCGTTGCCCGCCTCCGTCAGCCGCCGCACCCCGCGCTGCGACGTCCCCGCCACCGCCGCCGCCGCCGGGCCGAGCGCCGCGACGCCGTTGCCCGCCTCCGTGAGGCGGTGCGGCGG